AAATTTTCGTGCACTAGGCCTCTAGTGTTAAATAAGAGTGGTGAAAGCAGCCAACTCTGTCTTGTTCCTGATCTTATGGGGAATGCTTATATTTTTTGCCCATTGAGTATGATGTTGGCTATAGGTTTGTCATATATGATCTTTATTATGTTGGGAAATGCTTCCTCTATTCTCACTTTGCTGAGTTTTTATCATAAATAGTTGCTGGATTTTATCAAATGCCATTTCTGAATCTATTGATATGATTATGTGATTTTTATCCTCCATTTTGTTTATGTGGTGTATAACATTTATTGACTTGCGAATATTATACCAGCCTTACATCCCTGGAATAAATCCCACTTGGTCATAGTGTATGATCTTTCTAATGTATTATTGGATCCAATTTGCTAATATTTTGTTGAGGATTTTAGCTTCTGTGTTCATCAGGGTTATTGGCTTATAATTTTCTGTCTTTGTAGTGTCTTTATCTGGCTTTGGAATTAGGATAATCCTGGCCCCATAAAATTAGCTTGGGAGTCTTCTTTCCTCTTGAATTTTTTGGAATAGTTTGAGAAGGATAGGTGTTAGTTCTTCTTTGAATCTTTGGTAAAATTCACCTGTAGAGCCATCAGGGCTTTTGTTTGTTTAGAAGTTTTTTGATTACTGCTTTAATTTCTCTAGTTGTAATCTGTTTATTACAATTCTCTGATTCTTCTTGATTTAGTTTTGGAAGATTGTATGTTTCTAAGAATTTGTCCATTTCTCTCAGGTTTTCCAATTTGTTGGTCTGTTCATAATACTTTCTCACAATCCTTTGTATTTCTTTGGTATCAGTTGTTACTTCTCTTTCATTTCTGATTTCATTTATTTGGGTCTTCTCACTTTTTTTGTTTATGAGTCTGGTTAAAGGTTTGTCAATCTTATTTGTCTTTTCAGAGAACCTGCTTTTGGTTTCATTGATCTTTTGTATTGTTTTTTTAGACTCTATTTTGTTTATTTCTGCTCTGATCTTATTTTTTTCCTTAATTCTACTCGCTGATGCTGATGCTTTTAAAGACATCTTCCGTAGCAGCTTTCCTCACCCAGATGCTCACTACTTCCTTAGGGAGGCCTTTGCTATGAAGTCCACTGAGCAAGGGTCCAGATTGCATCTCAGGGAAGTTCTATGTCCCATGCACATCCTGGGTTCAGACTTTCTCAGATCTTTAATTTGGGCATCCTAAGGTGACTAGATTGGGTGCTATAGTGAATCATTGGCTTGTTCCTTGGCAACAAGATGGAGACACGATCTACCACAGGCATCTTACTAGCTGGGCTGGTGCCATGAGCCTGCAATGAAAGCCCTGTAAATGTGCTCCCTGCACACAATTGCTTCCATCCAGGTGTGAACACCTGGGCACTGTCACCCATCTCTCTTCATATGGCTTCTCGGCTTCAACCATTGCAATACCTTGTTGATGGCCTAACAGAGGAGCTGGCATTTATCAAATACTGACTGCATGCTGGGTATATGTCTGTGATCTTTGACCTTCACCAATCCTGCGAGAAAGGTATGCATCAAGAAAAGTAAAACCTTGGCCATTAGATGGCTGGCCTCAGTGAGCGGTCATGGCTGAGTGCCACCCCAAATTCTGAGTGGGGCCCCAGAATTTGCATTTCTCAGAAGGTCCCCGACGGTGCTGATGCCTGAAGTCCACTCTGAGAATGACTGGTCTACCTCAAACATTGCGCTGTTCAGAGTTAGGGTTCACCTCACAGTTTGTCTGATTCCAGACCTGCGTGTTTTAGCTGAGTGCCTTCTCCCAAATGAGCCATGTTTCTTCATGCCAGGGCCTCCTCAGGCAATGCCTGCTCTTCCCACAACACTCTAGCCCTTGGCCCTCCAGCTGGCTACCTCCCCAGCCCTTGTGCCTGGCTTACAGTTTTCTCTCTAGGAAGTCTTTCTTCTTTTCAGGAGCTGACAGCCCTCTGAGCTCCCAGGGCCTGAAGAATGCCACTCTAGTCTCTCATTGTGTGGCCACTTCTCTGCCCACTGCCCTGTGCTGTGGACCCCTTGGGGGTGTCCAGCATCCAGTCCTTGCATATGTGCCACTGAGTCCAACCTAGTAGGTTAGCTGTTCTGTCACTGCTGGTGGAACGACTGTTGGAATGGCCTTGGCCAGTTGCACCGGCACCATAGGCTTACAGAAGCCCCATGCTGAGGAGTGGCTCTCATTTCCCAGGGGTGCTCTCTAGCGGGTGCTGCTGAAGAGCCTACACTGAAAAACAGGCTAGAGTAAGTGTGCTTCCAGGGCCGCTTCTCGGGGCCAGCGGCCCCCTGGTGTGGACGGGCGTCCTGTCTGACACGGTGCCTGCTTTCTGCTGGCTGCCCGTGTGGGCTTGGAGCCGGGTGCTAGTCCTCCCCCTGTGTCCCTTCCAAATTTACGCCCCGACGAGAGGGTGTGCCCAGGAGGACGGCTGACTCGGGGTGTGAATAGCTGGGCTTCCTGTTCAGACCTCCAGATGGCTTTCTGTAGGTGCGTCCACTGAGATGGGTGGCAGTGCCCGGTGTGTGCTGGGCACGTTGGTGAGCTGGAGATTTTCCTTGAGAGAGGAAGCTGCATTTGAGATGGGAGATCCCTCCCTGCAGACTGAAGGTCATGGAGTGGATGGGTAGAGGCCTGGGCTGACCACCGGCTGCCAGAGAAGATGGAGGAGCATTTTGCGGTGGGAACGCTGAGCTCAGACAACAGGGGTGTGAGGCAGCCTCTTTGTCATCCAGAGGTGCTTGCCGAAGCTCCTGGGCAGCTCACCATTGCCAACACATGTCCGGAGGAGAGAGCCTCTTTCCTTTCAGAGGCAGGAGGAGCTGGTACTGAGCGCCTGGAGGCTGCACCGGTAACCGGCCGTGAAAACGCAGAGCAGCCCGGTTTACTGGCACCTGCATCAGCCATGCTGGTGCTTCCCGCCCATCAGAGCCTGGGTGTGTCCGTGTTGCCATGGTAAACATAAAAAATGTGTAAATGTTCCTCCTTCACAGGCAATTACAGCGGAGGTATAGCCCGCAGGCCCTGCAGGCAAAGGGGCGTCTTATTTCCATTAGATAAAATAGTGGGCGGTAATCAGAACGATTTCTTCATCAGATTTGTGATTGTGTGCTCCCTTTCACCCGTGATGCATTGAAATGAATGCTGAGCTCTGGGCCTGGGCTGCGCCAGGGCCTGCAGAAGCGCGGAGCGGCCGCAGAGCAAGCGGCGTCCTTGGCTGTGAGGCTGAGTGAGCGGGCCGCACTGCGGGGCAGGAGGCGCCCGCCTCAGTCCTCAGGGCCACACTCCATGGGGGACACACCAGCAGTGCCGGTGCCCAGCGCTGGCTCACGTCACGCGTGGATCTGCATTGGGCACTGCTGCTCTGGGGCTGAGCACACCACTTCATTTCATGGCCACGGGAGCCAGCCATGGCAGGCTCTGCTTCCGACCTTACTTTGAAAAGCTTTGAAAACTGAGACACAGACTTTAGTGAACTTGCCAGGCCGCAGGGCAGTGAGGGGTGCTGGGGCAGGGGAGGCCTGGCCTCCAGGGCAGTGAGGGGTGCTGGGGCAGGGGAGGCCTGGCCTCCAGGGCTGTGAGGCGTGCTGGGGCGG